CAGCGGGCATCTGACATAATCCAGATCCCTGGAGATGCGGATCAGCCAATCCTCCGCGATCTCAGGTCTCTGGGTACCCTCGAACCTCGGTGTCCCCATCATCCGAAGTTCCCGTATCAAGGGCAGGTAATCCACCACAACAGGGGCTAGATGCCCTGGTGGTCCCGATGGAGGTGGGGGTGGAATACCCTCTGGTCTAGCTCCAGCCTGATATGGCATGTTCATCTGGTACTGACGCCACATCGTATCAAAGAACTGCTGTTGAAACTCTGGTGGTGCATGCTCGGGTGGAGGGGGTTCTTCCCTCACCGGCAAACGGACAGGTCTACCACATCTCGGAGGCATCGGTACACTGCAGACAAGGGAGAAAATTTCAGTTCTGGTGATTTCAGGATCATGTATAAATACATTGGAAAACCTTTCTTTCAAAAAAAATCGTTTGAAATCATAAACAGTATTGCTGTGGGTTTCAAGCAATTCCTTCCCGTGGAAAGAACTGCTCTGATACCACCAGCTGTAGCACCCGTAACCCGTCTCCCGCTCACGAGTTGTGCCACATGGACGCTCAACCATATAATAAAATAGCGGGAATTTAAAAACATTTATTTTATTACACACGCAGCGGAAAACAAGTATCTGTTTACAAACCCACGTACAGTAGTATACACACCAACATAAGGACGGTAACTGTAATAAAATACAAAGTCAGGTCACCGCCCGTACAAGCCAACATAAGTCCAAAGAAAGAAAAGTACATGATCCAGATAGCTCCTCACACGTCACCAGTACCCTCGTCCTGCTGCTGCCAATACTGCTCCGTGCCTGAAACGTTGCATAACAACGTCCATAAGCTACGTGCTTAGTGAGTACTTCGGGTTAGACCCGAAGATCATACTCAAATTGCAAATGGCCAAACACAATCAATATTATACACACACTAGATATAAGTATATACATATATACACACTTCATGCCAGGAAAACACAGTTCACTCAATCGCCCAATTAATTCACTTTTCACACCCACTCAGTCCGCATGATGTATCATCGGACATAACCGTCAAATCATCTCTATGTGCATCGCACACATAGGATACCGCAAGGATCTGGTCTCACCAGTCCAGGACATATGTACACAAGTAATAACTCGACCCATCGGGTCTCTCAGTAATAACCGTACCGTCAAATCATCTCCACGTGTGCATCACACACGTGGGTAAGGACGCTCCATGTGCAACGCACATCCCCCGCTCTCCTCGGCAATCGCCGGAACAATAAAACACGCCATCCAAATCCCTACTCCATAAAACATAATACATCAATCATCCCCTCTGATATCGATGTCACCTCTCGATACCAGAGCGCCAGGTGCCTCCTCTAGGCCACCACCGACTATGTCGAGCGAAGTCAGTACACAACTGACAACCTCTCGCCGGCCGTCCGCCACGGAGAAACTCATTGGACCCGAGCTCAGGTCTTTCTGAGTTCCTTCGCATAACCTCGTCGGGAGAATCGCTCAATCCCGAGTCACGGGTAAATGTATTGCCAGTCTCTGCCGGGAGAATCACTCAATCCCGATCCCGTTCCATAGCTAGTGGAACGTTGGCGCGGTTACAGTGTAACCGTAGGATTTCCTCAACCCCGTGATAGCCGAATCACTCAAGACTATCACGTGTATCATCGGCTCCAAGCTCTGCCCGTGGGCAACCAATCACAATCATGCCTCCTCAATATGAAACCCGACCCGGGTCAGAGATCATAAAGAGGAGATTCCAACAATGCAACCATCGGGATATCACCTCAAACCCGCTACAATCACACGCTCAACCATATCCCGGCCCTCCGGAATAAGATCTCACGCCATGCCAACTACCCGATTCCCCAATCACATGCATTCATTTATTATTATACTTCAATCGGATATACACACGTCTTTACTTGACATTTTGGTTATCTCGTTTCTTTACATTCATTTTATTCTTTTATCCCCCGATCCGATCAAATTGGGTTCCGACTATTTCGGATTACCAATTCAGCTCGTTCCGAAGGTTTTATTTATCGTAAGTCGGTTTCATTCAAGTTTCATGTGGTTCGGGTGGAAAACGGGTTTAGGTAGGTCACGTATAGGGGTCGGTTGCATCGGATTCCGTTCGGTCCGGAAGAACGAACCAAAACGGGGAAAAAGGGGTCCAGAACGGACGGTCTACCCGTCTGAAACGGACGGTCTACCCGTCTGGAACGGACGGTCTGGTGGCTTGGTCCCTTCGGTCTGGCCGAAGCTGGAACGGACGTTCCGCGAAAGGTGGAACGGACGTTCTAGGTCAGAACGGACGGGCCAGGTCCAGAACGGACGGTCTGGGCTCGTCTTCTTCCCCCGAAACCCTGCAAACCCTAGAACGGACGATCCATGCCTGGACCGTTCGGTCTAGGCGCATCAGGAACTTCGGGTTCCCAATTTTCGCACCAAACTCAACAAGTTATACATAAAAATGATCCCTAGAACATCAGGAATCCAAATCTAACACCAATTTCATGCAATTTCCACTCAAAGCAATCAAATCTCCATTTTCAATTTGATTATCATTTTTGGGCATAATCCGAAACACTCACTTAGCTCAAATTCGAGCTCGGGGTTTCGTTGGGGATGTTCTGTAGGGTTGATTGCTGTGGTTATTTGTTGATTTCGACCGAAATCGGGACTCCAATCGAAGGTTGAAGTTTCGGACTTTTGAGAGAGTTTGTGGGGGAGTGAGAGGGCGAAGTGAGAGGCGAAGAACGACGGAATGGGCGGACCTAGGGCAGTTCTCGCGTCCCAGAAGAAGCAGGAGGTGGCACACGCCGGAGGGAGGCCGAAATTGCGGCGGTGACTCAGCAGAAAGGGAGGCGGCGCGCGATGACTCAACAGAAAGGAAGAGGCGGCGCGTGACCTGGCCAAGGCCGCCGGAACGGACGGTCTGCTTGTCAGACCGGACGTTCTGGCCCGTTTTCGTCCGTTTTTCTCGCTCGTTTCGGTCCAATCCTTCGGGTCAACTTGGTTAGGGTCTAACTTAATATTTTAGGGACATTTTTATGACTTATATTTAATTTTCTAAAATTCGGTTCCATGGTGAAATTTACGGGTTATTACAGCATCCAATCATAAAGTTACACGTGGCTCATTATTTGGATAGTAATCAGTCTAATGCCCCCTCATGATTTAATTTGTGATGTGACATTCACACACATACTCATATATACACACACACTATATGTAACCCTTAATAACGTTTAGTAATCCTTAATAACATCTTTGTAATTTTATTTGTCTAATATTCTCACAATCGCCATTTGAATTATATGATTATCAAGATATTTCCTAATACCGTATAGATGATGTCGTAACAACTATAATATGCTTGAAATTATTTATAGTAAGTACATATGGATATAAATTTCGTGCAAATATGAAATTTGGTTACTCAAAATGAAAAAAAAAAATAACAAATAATAATTAGCCAATTTGAATAAAACTGTTTCAGCTTTGTAGGTAATTTACCCATTTTTTGCTAGTGGGTAGAATAGTTCACCACAGTTTTAGGCCAATACCCCATTTAGTAGTTATCAGAAGATAAGTTTCTCATTTTAAAAAAAAAAATTATAATGCTTGGGACATGGGTCAACAAAGGAAACGTGTAAAACTTGGTTTTGTAAGAAACTTAATATATATATACACACACACACCACTTTGTAGAAATCTTATCTTATTTTACATATAGACATTCTAGAAACATCTGATTTGGTTAATCTCCATAAAGTCAAAATGAATACAATATTCTGAATGAAAGTCAACTACTTCATATATTTTTATCATGTTATATATATATATATATATATATATCACTTAGTAGTTAGTACCATCATATGATATATTTTTTTTATAAAAAAAAGGGTAAAAAAGACAAGAGAGGAAATGAATAGAAATTTCCAATGGGCCAAAGCGCATGGCCTCTTTTCTCTTCTCTGTCAACAAAGGCCATTTGGGTCTCCTTTGACTTTCAAACATCATTCATCCACGTTTTTTATTTTCAACCCAAAAAAAATCAAAGAATATAAAAGAAAGAATCGAGAAGGTGTAATGGATGGTAGACACGTAACCACAAGTTCACCATAAACCGCCCTCAATTTCATGCCGGTTTTAATTAATTTATTTTACGTCTTCTTAGTGTTAGAAGAACGACGACTACGACTCGTCAATGTTCGCGTTGGCCACCAAACCTTCCCTTCATTTCCTAACTCATCAACAACTCGTGCCCCCCCATCTCTCTCTCTCTCTCTTACATATATACACACACACACACATATATATATGTATAAATTGTAAAACCTTCTACAAACAACACCAAGAATAACAGGTACTACACGCCTCCAGCGTGATTTCCTTCTTCTGAAACTGTATAAAAGGGCACGTCTTTGTTTGGACAGAATCTTCTCGGGTTTGGTCGGAAATGGAGGGCAAGAAGGTGGATCTCGAGTTCAGAAACTGCAGGTGCGACGAGGACGAAACATCGTCCGACGGGGGGCATGCACAGAACGATGTTCCGATCCACAGCCAAGTCATGAAGATCAAGAGGGAATTCGAGAAGATAAAGCACCCTCAGCCCGAGACGCGAAAGCTGATCCGCGAGATCACGGGCCATCAGCGTTCTCGGTCTCCCCTCGGGCTAGGGGAGAGACCCATCACGGTCGGGAACTGATACCCGGGTTTTTTTTTTGGGTAAGGAGAGAAGCTAAGCTATAATGTAATGAAGAGACAGACAGACAGGATCTGTCTCTCTGCTTTCAGACATGATACCAGGGTTTAGTTTCAGGGCTTTTCTCTATCTGCCAATGTATATATTCATGGTTTTGGGTTTAATACATATGAGTCTTCCCCTGTTTCATAACCCTGACAAACAAAAGGAACAAATCTTTTTGCTTTTCTATCTCAAGCAACATTACCCAGAAATTTCTTATGATCTCAGATCAGAATTAAGTTTCAAGGCAGTGATTTGACTTGCATAAGCAAAATTATGGGGCTAAGATCTAACAGGAACAACAGTCAAAACAACTTGCATGCTTGGTGGACCGATCCCTATGATGCAGCTTGACTCGTCTCCTTGGATGATAATGACTTAACCCTTCTCGAGAGATCTCTCATAACATCTATGATCACAGATTTCTTCTGGATTCTGTACCGAGCAGCCAATTCCGTGGTGGCTGATACACCTTGTTTCAGGACAGCCTCGTCCTCCATTATCTTCGTCGGGAAATGCCCCAAAGCAATCATGCAAAGAGCAATGACAGTGCGAAATACGGCCAGCTCGTTTGCTATTCCTAGAGGAGCTTCAACCGACAAAGATTTCAGCTTGTTTATATCATGCTTCTCTACTGCCTCCATTTCGCAGCAAAGCAATATTCTTAATGCAGCCAAGAGCCGTCCTTCTACCAGTTCTGGACCTCCTATCGCTACCTATTACGATACCATAAAACCATTACAATCAGCCTCCGCGGATTCCTATTAATGTGGTTAGGTATCGAAATAGAGAGTTGTGATTTAGAAAAACCTTGAGATTTGAGGCTTCCCCAGCTAAATTTAATCGGGAAAGGAATTGACTTTGCCATGGAGATGGTGAAGAGAAATTTGGGGAAGAAACACCGGCTGCCATGCTTGCAGCATCCATAAGAGCTTCATCATACTTGAGCTCAACGGTGTCATATGGATTTGATTCAATCACGAATCCATAGTCCAATAGGAAGAAATCGTTGCCAAGGCAACCATAATTCAGCATCAATGGGTCATTCTCTTTGATATCTGTTTCAGCAATGACCTGATGCAGAAGGGAGAGAGCTTTTCAGCAGTGACAAACAGGAAAATGAAAATTTTTGTTTGACACAAACTGCTCAGAGAGCCAGCTTGGTTGGATAAACAAACCTTAACTAGAGTATTCGTGTTCTCTTCACTCTGTTCTTGAATGATTCGGGCATTCGGTTTGAAGCTATGATTACACATATCTATCAGAGGAAGCATCATAGGGACATCGTTAGAAGATCCATCTAGAAGCTTTTTACCGTGCAGACGAAATGCTCTAGACGAAACTGCTGACATGGCCCACCCGAGCGAGGATGCATCTACATCTTGGCCCCTGAAAGGATGATCACTTGGCTTAATACCTTCAAGAGTTCGTCTGATCTCTTGCTCGAACTCAAGAAGAAAACGGCATCTTCTATTAACCTGACTCCAAGGCGAAAAGACAAAGAATAAGAAAACCCATGAAATCTTACAAATAGGCAGTGATGGTAGGAGCCTTAACAAGCAAATCACAACTCGAGCAATAATCTGAAATCCTTTTGATGTTCAACACAATAGATTACATGATGAAACAGGAAGCAAATCAGTCTCTAAAAGGTTGCTCAGTTTTCATTTTGCCCGCTCGTGGTTTACCTGGTAAAGAAGGGGAGCATATTGCAAGTTCTTTATATCTTCCCCGGGAAAGAATATGGGAACTGTATAAGTTTCGGGGAGGTTGCTAATGTACGGCCACCAGAAAGAATCGATCTTTGCTCTCTCCTGCAAAAGCCTCATCCCCAACTTCATTGCCCACAATTCATCTGCCAAATTCCCCCCTCATATACTAAATAATCGAACTTTGGAAACTTGAATTTACCAACACAGATCGCAGAACTCCACAAAGCATAACATTCAACCAAATTCAAGAGCTAAGACTCAAAGCCAACATGTAGACTTGCGTATGGATTTAGAACTGTGATTTGCCTCACAGTGAATAGCTCTCAAAATGATGCCAACACCATTACAGAACATCAGCCAAATTCAAGAGCTAAGTTTCGTGACTCAGAAGAGCGAACACCGGCAGATTTAGGATTGTGATTCAGAGTGAAGATTTTTACGAAAGATTGTGAAATGTGTAAAATTGATCGATAGAACAACGGCCACAATAATCAATCAGAAGCAAAACCAAAAACATTCGCCGGAGAAGAAAAGAGCGTACCGGGGATACGGCGGGCCAAATCGGCCAGGACGGCGAAAGAAGCAGCGTCGTCGTCTGATTCGGATTCGAATCTCAACGGGACGTGAGGAGGAAGAGAGATAAGATCGGATCCTTGAGGGATTTTCTCGGAGGAGACGAGGCCGAGACCAGAGGAGCCATCGTCAGAGAGCTTGAGGGAGTGGTGGACGAAGCCGCCTTCCCTCTTGACCCACAGTATGAGGTCCGGCGGGTGTGGAGCCAACCGCGACGGCTGAGACGCGGCCATGCAAGTTAACGGCCGAATGTGAAGTGCCAGAGAAGCCAGCGCCATTTTCGAAGCCGCCATTGTTTTCGGCCACAAGCTCCTGAAGCAGCAGGTTTCTTTGCTTTGGCGAGTGGGAGTCGTAGTTTCAAACTGGGTCGGCCGGGTCGGGTCGGGCCGGGTCAGAGGCACAAGTCTAAAATTGGCCCGGTTAAGCTTTTTTTTTTTGTTATTACTATATGAGGATGCGCGGGTTATTCTTTTTCTAACGGTATAATTTGTTAATATTAATATAATGAAAACTGATATAGTTTAAAAAATATATCTATACAATTTAATTATTGTAAATCATCATTATATTATTTATATAAAGAATTAAAAAAATAAAGTTTGAAAATATGAGTGTCGTTGTCTAATTTTGTATAGGTTTGATACTTTGATGTTAATAATTTGTTATGAGCGTCTTAAATCTCGTTCTTTTTTTCCGATCTCTAAAAACATTTAGTTAAAAATTATTAATAAAATAATATATGAGTTATTTTGATAATGGTTAAATTTATATATTTGTCATGGATTTTTTTATGATGTTGAGTTGTGTATTTATATAAATTTTTTTTCGATGATGATGTGTTTAACGTAAGAACAATTTTTAGTTAATTTAATATAATAATATTGTTTTTGTTTTTTTAATTAAAAATTTTATATTAGTTTGTTACAAGCGAAATGAGATATAAATTTGTTTAAAAGTATATAGTTTACAACTTAATTAAAACGTTGTAAACTTACTCTTTTAATAATATATGGAGAACATTTTTTGAGTTTACAATTTAACTCATAAATCTGATTGTTCTATTGCGACCAAAAATCCAATAATATTTACAATTAAAAAATATATCAGTTCTAAAATCAAAGTATCTATTGTTTTAAATTTTATTTTATAATTTGATAAATCTAGTATGTTTTGTTTTTGTTTGGTTTTAATCAATTTAAAATGAAAGATTGGTTTTAATCAATTTAAATAGTTGATGATCTTTTTAATTCAAAATTAATAGTTTTTTTATATATAATTCAAAATTAATAGTTGATAGTTTTGTAAAATTAATTTTAAGTATAAGGTTTTCCCGTGTAAATGAGATAGACATCTTTTTTAATTTGTCCCCAAACCAAACAATACTAATAATCCGAACCAAACTCACTTTAATTAATCACATGCTAAATCACACACACATAAAATATACACACACATAAAATATATATGCACATTGACTCACTTTCAATACAAACTTCTTGATCTTGTTCATAGCTCTGAGTTGCTGCATTCGCAACAAAGAACATTATTGATAGGTTTAGATGCATCTCTTACTTTTCTTATCCATGGATGTTCTGAACTGAACAATATGTTACCATTCCGGTTTAAAGAATAACCGGTATCAAAAACTGGAAACGGAAAAATCGGTCTAACGAAGAACTTATCATGTAGTGATTCGGTTCTAGGTTCTAGGGTCTTTATTCAACATGTTTGTAACCAATTCCTTAGCGTTTTCTGAAGAGAAGGAACCTTTCCAAAAACATCCACCTGAAAAAAAAGCATGCGACTCATTGTTAGCACATGCACGAGGGAGGATCTCTGAAATGAGTTAAACATAATGATGCTTCAGCATTACACCGGAAAAATATTTGTCATAGTAGACAAACCGAGCAGAAGACAAAGCAGTGAAATAGCAAGGCAAAAGATTATGTGGACTATAATTTAAAATTGATTGGAAACAACCAAGTAGAGAGAGACTTAAATGTTTAAATATATACCAATTAAATTCAGAGAAAAGAAAAATGATGAAATTTTGGTTAGGGTTTATGGGTGGAAAAGGTAAATCGTGGCTCCTCTGAAGACTCATGGATAACCTGAAACTTCTGTTAGGTTCTAATTGTTAATTTTTATAAACCAAATACTCACAAAACACAGCATAGACATAAAACAAATCTGAAACATAAACATGTATTCAGTCACTCATAACTTATATACGCTATATACACATACGACTGCAGAAAAAACTTATTTGCAATAAAATATTCAACCCATTACTACACATATTTATAGAGATAATTTAGTAACCGGTAGAAACTTCTCAACCTTAACTGCAGAATTAAAAACTTCTAAATAACCGATTGAAACCGCTTTTGAATCACACATCTAACACTGATTTGATCTCAAGGTCCACAAACTGAATCACTCGAACCAAACCATCGAAGATACAGTGTGCTTCTTTACTCATCTTACTTTCCCGAGAAAATCCTGTAAATTTTTTCTCCCTGTTCCATGAGAGAAAACTCAAGAGACAACCAAATTTCTTATGGATACCCTCCCGTGCGATTCGCAGATTCTAAATGAACGAACAAATAAGAATTTATATCGGTTATTTATGCACTAATATTATAGAACCGCCAGTTGATTATATAAATAAGGAATGATAAAATTACCTGAAAACCGTAGTTTCGTTTTAATCTCGTTTTTTATCCCCAAACTGTTTGATATAACAACAAAACCCAATAGAATTACCAAGCAAAGAAAAATGAGGGTGAGAAATGAGGAGAAGGTTTGCTTATATTACTCTGTAAAAAAAAATTACAGAAATGGAATACAAAAAATCGCAAACATAAATTAAGAATGATGAAAAGATGGAATTTCCTCAGCAACCTCGAACACTGTCTCATCTTGTTCTTCGGCTAGGGCTTCCTGAAATAGACAAAATAAAAAACCGAAAATCTCACTTGTAAGGACGGTATAGTCGCCTTATATAAAAATTCTATTTCTGGTCGTTGAACAATACCTTAAAAAAAATAACTTCACATTAACTAAAGGTGAGTTTGATATTCCGATAAAACCTCTGTTTATGTAAGAATTCATCAAATCTTTTAATGAAAGTTGGTAGTATTAATCAAAATTGGTGGTACAACGATTAGGATCTCATATCCACATTGCAAGCTACCAAGCTATCACTAAATAAATCCTCAAACGGAGAATACACGAACATATGAAACCTCCGTTTATATAAAAAAAAAAATTCCAATCTTGGGGTTCATGTAAGAAATCTTGGTTAACTTGCATCAATGGCGGTTTTAGATTGAACTCCCACACATTTAGAACCACTGATGCTTGCGATCTTCATCACGCTATGAGTACTATACCCTCCTCCATCCTCCGAACATTTGAGATTCCTCTCCCCTTTCGGGCTGTCGAGCATCGAAGCAACAGTAGCCATTTATTAATATGTTATTAAGAAATCATGTCGTTTGAGTGCACCATAACATAAAAATAAAAATAACCATAACATTTATTATTTAGACAAAGAATAATAAATTGTTTATTAGTGGCTAATGAATATCACATTGAGTGTACACACAAAGTGGCTAATGTATTTGTATTTCTGGATTCTTCTGCACGCTTTTTATCAAGAGACCAATTTCATGGTCCAAGGTCAAATTCATCGGAATGTATTTTTTTATTTTGTGATATATATATATATATATATGTATATGTATTTATATATGTGTATGTGTATATATATATAAATATATTTGTTTGTATGTATATGTATATATATTTGTATAGATGTTTGTATATATATATGTGTATATTTTTTTATTTTATATATATATAGATATATTTTTATATTGGAGTATATACATTTATATTTGTATATAGATATGAAAATGTATTTATATATATGTATTTTTTTGTTTTGTTTTTTTTAAAAAAAATTTCAAATTTTTTAAATTTGTTTTTTTTTCGATTTTTTCAGATTTTTTTTTTGAAATCTGACGTGGCATGCTGACGTGGTAAAATTTTCCATCTGACGTACCACGTCAACCGCCACATATCGTGCCACATCAGTTGTTAACGAACACTTAACACCGTTTTCGGATTATGTAGAAAATTGCAGTTAAATTGGATAGTTCGTGTATCGATTTGGCACATTTAGTAATTTGGTGTAGGTTTTTGTCAAATTAAAAAGCTCGTATAGGAAAATGCCACATTTTACAAAATCCGTATAGGAAAATGTCATTTTTTCTATTAAAAATGATATTAGTAACATCTTGAAACATTGTTTGTTTGATATTATTGTTTGGTAAAATCTTGAAATCACTATAAAAAATATATTTTCCTATTTTTTTAGTTTTCTATATATATCTCCATTGTTTATTTCTAATAAATTATATGTAGAATTGAACTGTAATTCGTTTATCTTGTATTCTTAAAATCATAACTATAATATATTGAGACTTATAATTCAATTATGATGGTCTTTCATTTTGTATACATTGTCATATCCCCTATAAATTGTATCATTACTTTCTCGGCAATCGAACACTCCTCATCCCTTCTTCGCCTCCCCTACCAACATTCACTCTCGCAATATCTTCTTCTTCAACCTCTCAAAATATCGAGCACATCGTCCTCTTCAATGTCAAAGATGACGTTGATCCCGACAACGTCACCGCCATAAAAATAATATTCAAAGATAGTTTGGAAACTCTCTCGTATTAACGTATTGTTGTTGTTGGTAATAACATATATATATTGTGACCATCATTTTCAATACAGTAAAATATTTTTTAATATATCAATAATAATTCATTTTTTTATTACATCATAACGTTATAATACTATATCATTAATAATTCATTTCTTTTCATTGCATCATAATGTTATAAAATTTATTAATCTTACCACTACTATTCACAATAATAACTATTAATGTACCATGATATAAAATAATAATTAAAATGAGCAATTTATTGTCATAACTTTTTAATTCAACGTAACGTTTTCATTTAATTTATAGTTAATATCATTTATAAAATTTGATAATTAGATTTGATTATTTAGATTAAAATATATGTGTTTAATAAATTATATATATTACTTATTTTAAATTCTATTCACTATTTTATTAATTTTTATATTTAACCTAAATTTACAAATATACATAGCTTTAATATGATTTTTTCAATATTATCATTTTAATATTACATGAGTTTTAATAAATTATTTTGTAAAATAGATTTTGTATTCCACGTTAAATATTTATTAAAATCACATTAATCATATTACATAATGATAATATGCTTATAATCTAAAATATTCAATTTATATGTAGTTAATTAGTTTTTAAATGAAAAAAAAAATAAAAAAAATATCACATGGATGATGATATAACTTCACCATAACTCTTTAAACTTTATTATTTATGTATAAGATTATTGATATGAATGTATAATTGTTATATATATTATGTAAAGTTAAATTATAATATTAAACCATTATATATATAAGAAACGAAGAAATGAAAAATACATAAGAAGCCAAGAATATAATTTTTCTGGATTAGATTTTTTGTTGTTTGTTCTACAAATTTGGAGAGAAGATATGCATCCACTTCATTAACAATGTTGATCTATTTGCTCCGTTTATATCTCTTTTAGTTGTAATCGCATTCTCAACTTGTAAAATCCATTCAGCAATTTCTTTTTCGAATCGGTTATCAAGTTATGTTTTGACAAATTTACAAATTTTTCTACAGTTTACATTTATAAAAATTATCATTTAAAAAACATATGACAAAATATTATACTGTCAAAATAAAATTATTTAAATAAATAAATACAAAATATTAATACATTCATATGGTTTCACTAACTCCTTGGTCTGCATTGCAAGAAATGCATCAACAATATTTTCAAAATTCCTGGGCTAATTAGAATAGCATACACCAATTTTGGTTAGTCCTCCTATTGGGTGACTTTTAAACCCAAAAGGTAATGTCGTTGTTTTTTCTTTCTGGCTTTTTTGATGCCTAAGGGGCCGACTGGTTACATCGCTGTCACCCGCAAACGGAGCGATTGCGATTTCTGGCGGTTGCGGGCGATTGAAAAACTGACTGGTTGAACCGCAACCAACCGCAACCGCAACCAAACTTGTGTTTTCTAATCGCAGCTTCTAACTTGCGTTTTGGTAGCGGTTTCCGGCGTTTTGACAAAAAAACTAAAATATTTTTATTAGAAATTATATAAAACATTAATATATATATTGGTGATGATTTTGTTTAGTGTTATGATTTGATATTATTTTTTAGTATTATATTTTAATAAAAAAAATACAATAGTATAATTTTTAGGTTTAATAATGATTATTTTTAATAATTTTTATAATAAAATTATTTTTTTACTTGAAAATAAATTAAATTGATAATATTTTTATTTTAAATTTATTATTTAATTATTATAAATTTAATAAATAAAATGATACGAAAAATTTAATTAAAACTATTGTAAAAGTAATATTTTTTTTTTGACAATTTATATCAAAACGCAACCGCAACCGTAATGAACCATTCACTTCTAACTGCACCCACCCGCAATCGCTACTTGGGCTAATTAGAATAGCATACACCAATTTTGGTTAGTCCTCCTATTGGGTGACTTTTAAACCCAAAAGGTAATGTCGTTGTTTTTTCTTTCTGGCTTTTTTGATGCCTAAGTTGAATTAGTCGAAGGGAAGGATGTTTTTTTTCTTTACTTTATTGAGTGCTCCTTGTCATCTCGCTCCTTCCCATGGCCTGAAAAAAATTCTCATTCATCCAATGATATTTATAATGATAAATGTCTATTAATTATTCTAAAAAATTAGACCTACTCAATTTACTTTTTCATAACCTGCTCATACTTGTGCTTTTGAGCAATCCTTATTAAAGAATATAAAAGTGAAATAAATACCTTCGAGCGAGCAGGTGGGAGGTCCTTGAAGAATCCTTTGTACTTTTTGCACACCACGCATGGCCACAACCTTTTTCTCCATAGACGCTATCCCTCTTCTCATCTTCTTCGCCTCCACTTCCATGGCCTTTGTCAATGTTTCCACCTTCTCTCCCAACATTTATCATCCAATAAAAAATACCCGATATATCAACATGTTGATCTCAGTTCTATATCTACCAAGCTATCAAGTGAGTGACTCACCTTTATGGCTTCATCCTTATCTTTAATGCTCTGTTCTTTCTCCGGCTATGCATCACGGTTATGCGCGTCCTCTATGAAAGCATAACCTTTAGGTTTATTGGTCAGATTGTCTGTCATCGGTTGAACCTGAAAAAACTCAGAAAAAGATATCATAAATCTTCGGCAAACTAACAGTTTTTTTTTTTTTGGTTTAAGGCAAACTAACAGTTTTAATAGACCATACCTAATAAACAGGCGATTCTATAGATGAAAAGGAAGGAATAGTGAGTCGTGGTCAAGATAACAATTGTAGAAGATAGTATTATATAGGTGCAATACTCAAACGTACTGACAATGAGAATATTAAATAAGACGTTTGAGTGTCTTGCCACTGTTTTTGGTTTTAATTTTTTACCCACTATATATTAACTACACATGTTGAAGACTAATTAAAGTCTTTCATTTATTACTATACAACGTGTATGAGCGTTTTTTTATATATAATAGGAAAGGGTGTTTTACCTTTTTTTTTATATCCATCACCTCAAGAATTTATTTAAGATATTATTTTGATATTTTTATTTAGATAAAACCTTCAAAATAACATTTAAATATAAGTGAAATCACTAAATAAACTTTATTAAAATAATTAACTATTTTATTTTAAAAATTATAATAATATGTTATTTAAAATTTTTAACTACCATATAGGCATCTTTTTAAGAATTAACTTTTTGTCTTTTTAATTTTTATATTTATATATAAAATTAGTGTTAATCTAAATGTATATATATGCATAAAAATTAATTATAATAATAATAATTATAATTGTAATTATGAAAGTTCCCAATTAAATCAATAAAAATTAAAACAAAATTGCCATATGGATGATGACATGGAGATGAGGTGGGTTCACCACAATCCTTTAAACTCCTTTATTAATATATATAGATATAGATTTGTCAATGCTAGATTTTATCGTTAGGACTTTGGACGCATAACAAATTATTAATTAGGTGGTTTATTCGGATTTCGGATTTAAAAAAATATATAAGACAGTTCAATTTTTTAATTAATTTTGGTTGTATTTTGCTTCTTATTCCGTTTTATCGACAAATATTTTTTTTTAGTTTTTTCGGTTTTACCAAATTCATAACAATTAGTTTTTATATGTTCAGTTATTTGATTCGAATTGATTGCGTTATACGGTTAAATCACCCTTGGGATTAATTATGCAAATGTTTGATAAATTTATTACAAATTTCAATGCTAAATTAAAAGAAAAAAGTTGAAAATTTTATAAAAAATCGATAAAATCGAAATCTCAAATTCAAAACCGTTTCCGTGGTCTGGAAAGCAGCAGTAGTAAAACGATCGATGATGGTTTATTTTTTCTTCTTTTATTTGGATACATTATCGGACAAAGAAGATCCGAGCTGAAGCATAAGAGGATAAACAGGACTGAACTCTTTATCACCTCTTGTCCGAACGGCCACTGCATAATCGTCCAGAGTGGCCTTTACGCCTTTCCATGTCTGATCCTCCCCCTGCGAGTCCATCCACAACGAGTACTGCAAAGGCGTGAGCTTGTTCCTCTGCATCGGCGACTGCAACTCGTCAGGGCCTCGGGAATAGAGGTGATGAAGGACGATACTCGGGGGCAGATCCCCGACCAGAGGAGACGACCCGATCTGAGAGGTTTCGAGGAAAATCAACGGCCGGAATGCTCGGAGGGCTCTGTAAGGTGAGCCTAGTTGTTCGACGGGAAACAAGTTCTGCCCCACCGCTAGTTCGAGCTCTGCCATGTCTTTAGCCATCCTGAGTTTACCCGATTCAGACAGCGGTCTCACGAGAGATGCGTGTCTGAGGAAGAAGATCAGAACCCGAGAAGCCATACTCCTCGCTAGCCTCATGCATATAGACTCTGTCACAGTAGGGTTACCGCTCGCTGTGGAAGGTAATAATCTGGACAGAAACTCGCTTCGGAAGTGGAGAATCGATTTTTGGAGTTCCTCCATGTAAGGGGAAGAGTTGTTGTCGATTGCAGAATCGAGATTGAGTGCACCAAAGTTCTGATCATGGATTTGTAGGATGCACGATTCGAGACGGTCCACCATTGCTTGGAACAAGGATGTTACCGAGTCACATGCCACGCCATAGATCGCGCCCAGAGAAGGAGATAACACATCGGCGGCGATACTGGGAAGGTCCGAGATCATAGATGAGATCCGCATGTGAATATCTTGTAGATGCTGACACAATGTGAAGTTCCTTATCTGTGCTGAAGTAGCAGGGCCCGTTATTTGGCGTGCCTCGGGACCCGTAGAAATCTGTCGAATAAATGTTAACTGTGTTACAAATCGAACGGGAAATATAATATAACGGATATGTATGTGTATGTCTATATATACCTGGTACTCGGCTCGTTCGGCGAGGAGAAGGAGGACCTTTCCTATTTCCCGCAACAAGAGAAGAGTCAAACGACCGTCTGGCTGAACGGCCTCAATCTCTTCCTGAATGCGTGATAATACCCGAGAGATCTGTTCTTTAGAAGGTACACTTCCCCGGCTGGACATCGGGAATATGGCATTCACGAGATCTGACAGGCGGCCCAGGCATTGTGACAAGAAGGCGGTCTGGAAGATTTCGATGGATCCACCCATCTGTTCCTTGCGTTCTGAAGTAACCGCGGGCAATACTCCTTTCACGTCGGTATCGCGAGAGATCCTTTCGAGAAGGTTTTCCATCAAAGACACGAGCTTAGGGTATCCCATCGTAAATATATCCTTCACGAAACTTGATGCGGTGAAAGCAGACTTCATTTGGGTGGTAAATGCCTTCACTAACGCATCCCAGACCCTATCGGTTAACATGGGATCACCCTCCTGTTCGGATAAACTCTAAATGTAAGCAATGGAAACCAGTAAAGAGATAAACCGATATCCCTGATGAAGGCCAGTGACATCGAAGAAGGTGATCGATCAAGCATGATTCTGTTCGCTTCAACTAGCAAGTATCTGCTCAAGCTAATTCTAATTCTAAATTCGCAGTGTTCAAGAACTATTGCAATGATTTCAAATACTCCGAGCAAGTTTTTGGGTGATCCCTTGAGACAAAACTTGACAACAGGAACAATAGACTGATGAATCGAGGGCAAGTTCTGTACCTTGATGACTTCGTCAAGAAGCAGGACATGGGTAAAGGGATCCCTCTTCTTCGACAACACCCGTTGCAAGTGCCAAACAGCGAGTACGATTGAATGCAACTGATCCATACAACTCGTCATCCTCTGCCATAACGCCTCCCTAGCCTTGGCTCCGCCGCCGATCTGCGGCGTTCCGCTAGATCGAATGCCGCCGGGTCCGAATCCACCACCGGAGCCGGAAGAAACCGCCTTCATGTCCATGGCGGCACTCACGCTCTTCACGGCCATGCCCTTGTACTTATTCACCAACTGGTCCACCGTTGGCTTTAACTCTCCCAGGTTATAGAAAACTTGCAGCCCAGTTCCTACTTCAGCCTGATTCAACCCTTCCATTCCTCTCTCCAACACATTCATCGCTTCCGATCTCAATTTCTCCCCAATCTCATTGACGTACTTGATTTCTTCGTCGATCACGTCAATGCCGAAGAGATCGTACTCTTTGCACATGGTCAAGATCTCGAAATGGAGCTGAGCAGCCTTGGTGAGGTCGATCCTGTCCGGATCCGAAGAATCCGCGAGATCTCGAAGCTTCTTCGAGAGGCGAAGCGTACGGACGGAATGAGAGAGGAACTCAGCGGCGGAGTGGAGATTGGAGAGCTGTACGGACTTGGATCGGATGGAGCGGATGGGCTCGGAGAGATCGGATCGAACCCGGCGGAGCGAAGACTGGAGGGAAGAGACGGAGGAGCGGAGGGATGAGAGAGAGATCTCGGCCTGGGAGAGAGAAGAGAGCTGGGAGAGAAGCTCGGAGTGGCGAGAAACGACGTCGTGGCGGAGCTGCGAGTCGAGTAGGCGGATGGCTTGGTGGAGGCGCTCGGCGGTGGATGCCGGAGATCCGGAGGCGAGAGCGGCGGAGGAGAATGAAGCAGAGGAGAAGGAAGGGGAGAGGAAGGGAGAGAGGACCGGATCGTTGGCGAAAGAGTCAAGCGGCGAGGAAGACGGCTGAGATGCGGCGGCAGAGGAGGAGGAGGAAGAGGAAGGTGGAGGGTTTTTGAAGGTGGAGAGGCGTTGTAGCGGAGTAGAGGAGGAGGAGGAAGACGACGGAGGAAGTGTCGCCGGAGACGCCATCTCCGGTAACTGAAAGGTGGTTTTTTTTTCTGCTAGATTTTTCCCACGCGCGAGTTGCCTTCTTGCCCCAATTTTATTGGCCTGATTGCGGGCCTTTAATGGGCCTGAACCATTTATTGTCGCTATTCCTTTTCCTATACATGGGCCTTTTAATGGGCCTAAACCCGGTCCGGTATTTTTACTTAAGGTGATTAATTTTTTCAAGTATTGTGACATGAACGTTTAGCTTTATTTGGTTACATAGGGTCTAGACAAATAAAAAACTCTTATCTAAAGTTAGATAAATGATGGATAAATATTTTTAAAAAATGTTTTATTTTTCCGTACAAATTGTTAAAATTGATATGAAAATAATGTTCATGTCTTTCTAAAACTCTAAATCGTGGAAAATACTAAATACCATCCACATTCCACACAGTAGCGGATCTAGAGGGCAAATTTCTTCTTATTATAAAATAAATTTAATTTTATGTGGGTATTTTATAGTTTTATTCAAAATTTTACATAATTTCTATAGAAAATAGACTTTTTTTTTTTAATTGATTGAATGGGGGCATGGACCCCACTTGAATGTAGATCTGCCACTAATTCCACACCCGATGTAAACAAACATGGCATCGAACCAGCCGGTCTATCGGTTTTGAAAATGCATTAACCGGTATCAGCCTTGGACCAAACCGGGAAATGAAGGATTTGACAAACGTTTTCTTCTGCAAATCAAACCAAAGAGTTCAAGATTTTGTACATCATCCGACACTAACACACTCCACTCCTGTAAGAACAATAATTTGACCTGTGACAGCAAATGAACCCTCTGTTTTACAATTAAAAAACCCCCTCTTATATGTAATTTTTAAAAAGAAAAAAGAAAAGAAAGAAAAACACGAATTCCAGTTCTCAGAGTCTCAAAGTGAGATCTGGCACCGAGGAATCTACACCGGCAGCAACAGCCGCAGGAGCAGAATTCAGATCCAAACTCGAACTCGTCAACTGAGCTTCGAGATTCACCTGTCGGAAGCTGCCGGGCCAGAAGAACTCGCCGACGTCGTTGTATCCGACGAACACTTCCGGCTCGTTACTGCCATAGCAACCGCGATGAAACCTAGCCGCAGGAACCACCTTGTGAGCCAGCTGCTGCGGCTGGGGCTGCACCGAGCCACCGGGGTGGTGCATCACACCGGAGTGGGCACGGATCCCGATCCCGAGGGAAGCGAGGCTTGTGTAAGGTCCGTGTCCGTGGCCATGGCCGAGGATTCTGCCGACGTGGAAAGCGCGTTTGGCGATCGTGCGTTCGCGTTTATGAGCGTTCTGGTGACCGCCGAGGGCTTGCGAGCTGTAGAACTTGCGCCTGCAGTAGTTGCAAGAGAAGACTCTCGGAATGGTCGGAGACGACGACGTGCTCGTGCCCTTCGACTCGAGTGTCAGATCGAGAGAGAGTTCGATGGGATTGGATTCGGGTTCCTCGGATTCCCCGTTTGAGTTCGAGTTGGACTGTGTCATTGTTGCACTCTGTTAACTATACGATGTTACCTGTCATAAAAACAATATATAAGCAACCATGGATATGCCTTTGGTATGCTCAGACACTAACATAACATATATATATATATATATGTATGTATATGTATGTATGTATGGGGGTGTGTGTGTGTCAGTGTGTGTGTTTACATGGGCATGGGCTTACCTACATTCATTTGAATGGGTCATATTATACCCCATTCATTTAACTAGAAAATTTATATAATTTCCAATAAAACTGTTAAATGATCTCACAGTAAAATTAAATTTTTCACATAATATAAAATTCAGTTTGCCTCAAAGTAAAAATTTTTATGGATCCGCTAGGGCAATCGATTCATCTCCAAACTAGTACAAAAATCAGTCAAGATTCAGTTTGGACAACACAAGAACACAAATTTTGAACTTTTAAGTCAGCTTCCGCGAAATTGGGAAGTCAAGATGAAATCTTATGATGTCTTTTTATGGAAAAGGAACCCTAGAAACATATGATTAGATAGTCCAAACAATAAACAAGATCCATCAGTTTGGACTAAAACAAGAACATATAGGTTTTGAAAACTTTTAAGCCGGATTCCAAGAACCCGGGAACGTGAGATGAAGCCTTATGATGTCTTTAATGGAAATATAACCAATAGAAAAATAGAATTTTAGATAAAATCTCAAGATTCTGCATGTCCCAAAACAAAACAAAGCCCTGAATCAACAGCAAAGACATGGAGAACAAAGGAAAGAAACCATCCAAACAAAAACTCAAATCGAAGCACCCAAATTCAGAAACAGGAAGCTTGTATACATATACATACAGGGGGGGGGTGAGTGTGTATAGGCCTAGATATGTAGTGAATCATGAACAAGAACCGATTCTTTATACAGAGAAAGAGTACCTTTGGCATCTGTACGGTTCTGATGGAGGAATTGGCGGAATCTGGAGGGGAGAGAGAGAGAGAGCCGAAGGAAGGAGAAAAGATGTTGACTTTGAGGATGTGAGAATCAGATGAAAGGGTACTCCTCCTCAGTTTTTGCCGGAAATAGGTCACTTGTAAGGAAAAAAAAGAATTAAAACATGTGTCCTCAAAAAAATAATCAGAGAGATAAGATTATTGGTGAAGCAGAAAGCCTTTAGAGAGAGAGAAAGTCTAAACAAATTTGGAAAAGCAGATGTTGGAGAGATGGGAATGGAATAAAGTCTCAATAAGTACTGGGGAGATATATACATACATACATATATATATTTGTGTGTATGTGGGTGTATATATATGTATATATTCATAACATAAGATGGAATAAATATATGATTTGGAAAAAAAGAGGTGGATAGACATATTTTTCCCAATTCCCACTACTGAAGTAAGTGTCTGTCTTTTTTAGTCTCGGGAATATTACAATTTGTTTCTTCATGTCAAACTTTTAAACCGGAAATTAAACTAAAAAGGATTATATGGTTCAAGTTTTCAAATTTCAGACGATTTTGATTTTAAGAATAGAAAAATCTTTAATAATATTATGCTCAATTTTTTTTTATGGTTAGGATGTATCCATAGGGTTGCAAATAGTATGTATATATATATATATATATCTACAATGATTATTTAATTAGTGTGCTACAGTTCAATTACTATAGAGAGAGTCCATTCATGAAAAAGCAAAGAAAACATTATTGACATTATTGAGAAGAACAAAAAGGAGGGTCTTATTTGAGTCATATCAACAATTTTATATCCATAGCTTACAACTAGGGTGACCATTTTGATTAATAACCGAATAACCGAGTCGAGGTGAACTGAACCGAATAAAATATAATCTTACTCGAACCGAATCCGATATCAAAACCGAACGGTTATGATTTCTTTAAACAAAAAAACAAAACCGAACCAAATACAAAAAATAACCGAAAAACCGATAATTTTTTTGAAAAAATTGATTTTTTATTGAACCGAATCGAAAAATAATCGAACGAACCGAAACGAAATTTATATAAAAACCGAAATGAACCCGAACCGAAACCCGAAATGGTCATCCCTACTTATACCTATGTTTTATGCGCGTGCGCGCACATATATATATATATATATATATATATATGCCTACCCACCATATACATGTTGTTACATACTATTTTGGTTTAGGAAATTAAGATAACTTGCGAGTTTAATTATTTCGATCTAGAAAGCTCTGAAAATTTTCATGTAACAATTTTTTTTAAAAAAGAATTAAATATAGAATTAAATAAAAACAAAATTAAATTACCTGTCTCTGCTAATGTGCAAATTGAATTTGATGATATCAAAATATCAAAAATTAGATAAGAATTTGGAAACGTGGACTGTTCAAGCGTATAAACAAAATAATTTATGAAAACATTAAATACTGTGATATAAAAGACACGTTTGGGAAAAGTTTATGTGTGTCATTGCATATGCACGAACCTCTATTTAAGTATAAACTGTAACAACCAACCCTAACTAAATTAGGAAGAGAACATATCAAATCTAAGCGTATATGCAACTCAATATATCAACATATATCTCCAGATATATATTGCCATTACCCCCTCAAGTTGGTAAGTGCAAATGTTGGACACCCAACTTGTCAAGGAACCAAGTAAACTCCTTCTTGCCGGCGAGTTGGTCACGTGTCGAGACATGTTTGGTGACGATGTGTCCATAAGCAAGATGATGACGAATGTAGTGGCAATCTATCTCGATATGCTTAGTACGTTCATGGTACACGTCGTTGTGAGCGATATGCAACGCGGCCTGGCTGTCGCAAAACAACATCATTGGCGATGAATGATCTACTCCGAAGCTGGATAGTAAACTCCTAATCCATAACAACTCACATGTAGCGACGCGCATTGCCCGGTACTCGGATTCGGTCGAGGACAGCGAGGGAATAGATTGCTTCTTAGTTTTCCATGAGACGGGCGATGTACCGAGCTGAATGAACCAACCGCTAACCGATCGACGAGTAACGGGACAACCAGCGTAGTCGGCATCACACCATCCATGCAAACGTAAATCTGAATTCGCGCGAAAAAAAGCCCCTGGCCGGGATCCGACTTCAAGTATCGAATGACATGAATTGCCGCCGCCCAATGATCCTGCCGAGGGCTTTGCATGAACTGCGAGACTACATGGACAGAAAAATAAAGTTCGGGGTGAGTAACAGTGAGATATATGAGTCGGCCCACCAGTCTTCGGTAACTACTCGGGTCAGCAAGAAGTGGACTATCGGACAGTGAAAGGCGATGGTTCTGATCCATCGGAAACCCGCTGGTTTGCACCCGAGCATGCCAGCCTCCGAAATGATGTCGAGGGCATATTTCCTTTGACTCACATGTATCCCGGTGGAATTTCTAGCTACCTCCAAGCCCAGAAAAAATTTCAAAGGTCCCAAGTCCTTCATGTGAAAACATGAGCACAAGTATCCTTTGAATGCGTGGAGAGCTATTGTGGAATTCCCGGAGATAATCAAATCGTCAACGTAAACAAGGACACAAAGGTGGGTTGTTCCTTCTTCGGGAAAGTGAATAGAGAATGATCGGATTGAGACTGGACAAACCCATACGTCAACAAGGATGAGCTCAACTTCTCGAACCAACACCGGGGAGCTTGACGAAAACCGTAAAGTGACTTGCGAAGCCGACATACACCATCGGAACCCTGAGATTCAAACCCCGGAGGGAGTCGCATGTACACATCTTCGCGTAAGTCACCATGTAAAAAAGCGTTGTGGACGTCTATTTGATGAATTTCCCAATTTCGAGCAGAAGCAACCGCGAGAAAGGTTCGAACAGTGACCATCTTAGTCACCGGTGCGAACGTCTCTCCATAATCTAGCTTATCGACTTGACGATTGCCTAGAACCACCAAACGCGCTTTATAACGTTCGGCTGGACCGTCCGAGCGATATTTAATCTGAAATATCCATTGACAACCGATAGCCTTCTTGCTCGGGGGAAAGGGTTCGATAGTCCATGTCTTGTTCTTCACTAACGCGTCAATCTCATGTTGCATGGCCGAATTCCACCGAGGATCGCGGCTCGCCTCCTTGTATGAACGGGGTTCAACACCCTCCGAAACAGCGGCTAAGAACGCACGATGAGACGAAGAGAAATTAGAACAATTAACAAATTGTGTGATAGGATACGGTGTACCTGAGGAGCGATGTGGATCAAGTGAGCTAGGAGACGGGCTTACGACACTGACGGTGTTTGTGACATGATCCTTAATAGGGGTGGCCATTTCGGTTATTAACCGAAGAACCGAACCGAACCGAACCGAATAAGAGCGGTTATATTCCACTTTTAACCTTATATATTTCACCCAATAAACCATAAAATGTAATGTTTTTAACTTTTATCCTAATTATTGAAGTTTTTAGATTTTTTTATAATTTTATTTTTACATGATTAATCATTTTGTGCATTTATTTAAATAGATATTTTGAAATTTATGTAGGATTAATAAATTTTTTAAAAAAATATATCATAACCGAACCGAACCGATCTAAAACCGAACCGAATAAACCGGAAAATATAACCGTTTGGTTATAATTTTATTATGCAAAAACCGAACCGAACCGAACCGAAACCGAACTGAACCGAACCGATTAAATCTATATAACCGTTTGGGTATGATTTTTTTATAACCGAAATAACCGAACCCGAAATAACCGAACCGAAAACCGAACCGAAACCCGAAATGGTCACCCCTAATCCTTAAGACGTGTGGAAGGAAACTCAGCACGTTTCCCTCTGCCTAAGTCACTGTGGCAACAGGAACAGGGTCTGCGAGATTGGAGACAACGGAACAGCCCCCCCTGTCGTTCGAAATCTCGGCTGGCAGAAGGTCCACCGGTGTATCAGAATCCTTGACCGCAGAATCCGACAAGGAAGAAGTAGAAGAGGGGTTGAGAGATGACAGCGCAAACGGTGTCAAACGAAGCGAAACATCGTCCTCCTCAAGCAATACAGGCCACGAAACCGGAGCTGGATTTTCCGAGGAGGATTGCTGGTGAAGAACAGTGTCAGCGAAGGGAAACCGATCTTCGCAGAAGGCTACATCACGGGAAACAAAGAACCGTTTCTTCTCCAGGTCATACAGACGCCATCCTTTCTTGCCAAACGGGTAACCGACAAAAACGCATCGAATGCTTCGAGAAGAGAATTTTTCGCCTTTATGATCCTTGTTGTGAGCATAACATAAGCAACCCAATGTACGAAGGTGAGAATAATCTGGTTTGCGGCCATGAATAACTTCGAACGGTGTTCGCCCGGATAGAACATAAGAAGGAGTTCGATTGATAAGGAACCCGACGGTCAACACACAATCTCCCCAAAACTCGATCGGAAAACAACCCTGAAAGAGAAGTGCCCGAGCCACGTTCAGAATATGACGATGCTTTCGTTCAGCACGTCCATTTTGCTGTGGGGTATCTACACAAGAAGTCTCATGCACAATCCCTTGGCCGCGGAAATAGTCACGAAGACAAATGAACTCGGTTCCGTTGTCAGAATGAACGGTACGAACTCTCTTATTGAACTGTCGATCAACCATCGTCATGAACTCAATAAGGTGCCGCGAAACCTGGCTCTTATCGAACAAAAGGTAGAGCCAAACACCGCGCGAGTAGTCGTCCACAATGGTGAGAAAATATTTGGCGCCGCAAAACGCTGGTGTACGATAAGGTCCCCATAAATCGCAATGTACTAGCTGAAAAATCTCGCTTGTTTTATTTGACTCAATGGAAACGAAGAACGAGTCTGTTTGGCTCGAAAACAAATATCACAAGAATCAACCGAAAAATCATTATGTGAATGACAATCATCTCCGACAACTTGCTCAACTATCTTGAACGACGGATGACCCAATCGTTGATGCCACACGTCTAAAGGAACCTTGTCACAAGAACCAACAGCCGCCACAGTGTCAACACCTCGGAAATAGTAGAGCTCGTCTCGGAGTTCACCCGCTCCAATCAGCATCCTCGTACGTTGGTCCTGAATAACACACAATCGGTTAGTGAACTGTATTATACAATCATGATCGTCCAATAGTTGAGATACGGAGATGAGATTAACATGTAATCCCTCGACGAGATACACATTCGACAAATGAAGATGTGCTGTCAAAAACACGGAGTCGGACTGAGAAGCAAACGATTGTCGGCCATCAGGAAGAA